TAAAAAATAAACAAATTAATTCACCCACATACACACACAAAAAAAACCGGGGGGGAGGGGGAAGAAGATATAACAGCTATACTTTTTTGAAGTGGTTACTACAAGCAAACGAAAAGGACATTCTTGGTGGGGAGGGGAGAGAGGGAGGAGGGAGGGAGGTGTCGGTGATGGGCCATAATAATCATATACATTGTATATTGACAAAATAAAAATTTAATGAAAAAAAAAATTTCCATTGAAAGCCTGCTGTTGTCTGCAGCTGATCTGGGCACAACAGTTTTGGCACTCATCGAGCAGAAAGTTTGCTCAACTTTATTTTTTCAGTCAGAATTGTGTAAGCTGAACCAGTCGAGATATTAGTGGTATTGGCTACTGTTTCTGCTGTTAATCATCAGTGCTCTTCAATTAGGGCATGAACAAGATGAATTTTTTCCTCGCAAATTGATGTGGATGGTCTGCCGCTGAAGTGTCATCTTCAACATCACCTTGTCTCTTCTTAAAACAAGTTATTTATTTGTAAACTGCTGATTTATTTGGGTCATTGTTCCCATAAACTTTTTGTCAAGCATCAATGTTTCACTATTTTTCCACCCGTGCTTCACCATAAATTTTACATTTAATCTTGCTTCAATTTTAGCAGTATTTATATTGTTCTGATAGGGGCTCTTTTAACTGAGGTCTTATCCTTTTTAGTGCTTCAAACTAAATCCTTTTCAGACATATTATAAAAAATTAGTACAAGTTTAGTTTGGTGCATAAATTTCTGAAATCCATGTATAGTTTTCCATGAACTTTTTGAAGACTCCTCACAGAAGTATAGTTGTCAATTGATTTATGATCCCTTTCAGAGATAAATGGCCAGAGGCATTGGTGTTTCCTGGTGTGAGCAAAGAGTCAATATGTCCTTTCCCCTTTTCCAAGAGAATCTGATTTTCAGTTATCTGTTTAGCTCTCTTCTCCTGGTAACCTTATAAGGATAAAAATGTCAACTATGTTTCTAGGCAACAATGCTTAGGATAAAAATGATCCCTAATTGGTAAGTTACATCTGGACTGTGTGTAATTTTGAATGAACTGTAAGTACATGATGGGGACAGCATGGCTTTGGGATTCCCCCTTAACAGTCATTTTCCCTGTGGAGATCCTGGAAGCTGTGCCTATGGAGTTATTATGAGAAATATTGGCTCTTACAGGTAGCATGTGTTTAAGCCAAGGTGTCTCCTACACTTTCCTAGATTGAGTCTAGTCTTTTTGCACCTGAGGTTCTCACGTAGTGAGGATGTAACTCCTGGCCAGCCTTATAAATGCTTCATGGACTGCTGCAAGGACCACTCCCTTAGAAGGGAAAGCCAGATGCTGTCCTTGCGCCAGCTGTGATTCCTGCTGTATATCTCTCTGAGTGTACTCAGTATGAACATGTTTTGTGAGTCTGAGTGTTTAGAAGAGCCTGACAGAGACATCCTAGTGGGCGTTGCACCTGATAGACTGACACTGCTGCCTTTTTACTTTTGAAATGTGCTACACTGTCCTTCCAGTCCCTGTTTGCCTTTTTCCTGTCATGATCTTAATTCACTCTATTTTGCCTTCATCTCTTCTAGTATATTCCTTTATTCTGCCTGACACACTTTTCTCTTTTCACTTTTCCTTTCTCCACAGGCCTGACCCTTTCTACCTCACCTATTTTATCCTTCACTATTGTTTCCTTAACCTCTTACTCTGGGGTTGACAGTTGTGTCTCTGAAACTGGGTCATCCTGGCCAGATTGACAGAATGGGACAGGAATCTAGATGCAACTGACTCAGGGCCCACATATCAAGATGTCATGTTCCACTGGCTCTTCTCCATCTAATACCTTCCTGTATTCAGGCTCCCCATTTATACAGTATTGGAGGCTTCCCCAGGTGTAAGTATGATCACACCTTGGCCAGGGAAGAGTTCTTTGCTACAGAGTGGAGTTTCACTGTAGAATGTCAGCTAAGCCTTTCTTACCACATTAAGCTACAAGAGAAAGCTTCGTAGTAGTTTAATGGTTTTCCTGGAAAGAAAAGAAGTAGGATTAGCACTCTTTTACTTTACCCTTTCTTGCTTTGGCAAAGAAGTGAAATAATTCTATCATCTAATCTATGGAGGTGAAACTTTTAAAAACAATTGCTTATATGGCTGATAAATTCTATCAAAATTTGGATATAAAAACATATGCAAGAGTATAATATGATTTGTTTAGAGCTAGATGGAATGAGTCAGGTTTTGAGGGTTGATTTTTATTTCTCCCTTGAGCTGTGAGGGAGCTATTTGCAGAATTGAAAGGAAAGTGCTTTGAATTGTGGGTGAGTGTTTTCAGAGCTGAGTGTTTGATAGCTAGAGTAAGAAAAATGTACACATAGAATGCATCTTACCTTTGGTATTTCTTAGAATGTTGTCCTATCACAGATGTGACAAAATAAATAGTACTTCAGGACAACTGTTTCACAAATGCATAATCCATTTCAATTTCCACCTTCTTTTTCTTTGTTTTTAGCCATCGCCTAGAATACTTCAAGCCTTTCAATTTTAACACACTGCTTGGAGAAGAATGGAAACAACCAGAATCAGACCTATGGCTAATGGAGAAACCTGACGTATAGGAGTATAGGAGATAACCATATCAATCATTTTTTCTCTATACCTTTTAAGGTAAACCAATAATAAGTATGAATCTCTTTTAAGACACCATGTACACATTTCAACAAGAAATATTTTCATAGAAGTCACTGCAAATATAGTATCTCTGTGGCAAATTGTGTATGATTAACAAGAAAATAAAAAGTTTGTAGATGATTTTATCTATAGAGTAAAAATATTTCTGAGAGTCTCTTAGTCTGGGTGCCGTGGTATCAGTGGGTGCTATCTTCTGCCTTGTGTGAACATCACCCCAAATATCTGACTATCAAACAAATTCATTATTTCTCTTCCCACTTCCCTAACCCTCAGCCAGCCTGAGACTGGAACATCTTATTTGCACATTTTTGAACTTCATGTAGTATTCAGTAATTCTTTACTAAGAATCTTCTGCCCATTCTTGAAATTAGTAGAAAATAGTGACCTATTTCAGTTGAGCAGGAGATTCATGTCTGTCACGATATCATTAAAATCCATGAGTTATTTAACAAGCTGTTTTTCCTGTCTTGTGACTATTCTTACTCTATAGAAAGAAATGGAATGAAGCAGTCTTGAATTCAGGCAACAGATTCTGCTTTCATTCACAAATAAATGATATTTTCTTAAAGCTGTTAAGACATCAAAATGTCTCTCTCTCTATTTTTTTTTGTAAGCATCAAATATTCCTGGTCTAGAATTTTCAAATTTTGTGTTACAGTCTTTTAGAGCTTGAAGCTATCTAGCAGATCATCTATGAACTTCTCTACCAAATGTAGTTCTTCTCCAGCATTAACTCAGAGATTATCTGTCTTCCAGAAGGTGAAGAGTTATTATTTGTAGAGATACCTAATGGCTTACTCAACATATACTTTCTCTTCTTCTTTACCTACAGAAATTGAATTTTTAGGAGCTGTGCTCAAAAACTGCATTTCCGGGCCGGCCCGGTGGCGCACTGGATAGTGCGCCGCTTGGGAAGCGTGGCGGTGCTCCCGCCCGAGGGTTCGGATCCCACATACAGACCAGTTCCCGCTCACTGGCTGAGCGAGGCGCAGGAGCAACGCCGAGGGTTGCAATCCCGTTGCCGGTCCCCGGTCCGGTACGGGGGCAACACTGAGGGTTGCGATCCATTGCCGGACACGGAAAAAGACAAAAGACAAAACAAAACAAAACAAAAAAAAAAAAACCGCATTTCCAACCTTCCTTTGCAGGTAGAAATGACTATAAGACAGTTCAGGTCAGTAAGACATAAGTACACAATATTATATGGGACTTCCAGAAAACACGCTTTAAAGATGGAAGATTCAGCTGCCATATATCTTTTGCTGTCTGCCCTTCTCCTTTTTTTTTCATGAGGTGTAGAATTGATACTTCAGGGAGCACGCTAGCTACATTGTGATATAGATGGATAGATAACTCAGGGATGGCTGAGTAGGAAGACAAGAGCCTGATTCCAAACAGCACAATAGAGTAATATGTCATATCTGGACCCCCTACTATGGATTTCTTGATACTTGAGGAAAACCACCTAATTTGCTTGCACCACTTTAAAAAAGATAAATGTTTCTATTATATGTAGCCAAATGCAATTTCTAACTAATACATTATTCTTTCAGTTGATGGAAAATGTAAGGTGTATTCCTCCTCAGCTCAGAAACAAGGCAAGAATATCCATTCTCAGTATTTCTACTCAGCATTATATTAGAAGTTCTAGCCAGTGCAGTGAAGGAATAAATAGAAGTAAAAGACAAATATTACAAAGGAAGAATTAAAATATTTAAAAATGTATTAATTAAATTTGATTTGATTATAGTTTATAGAAAATCCAAAGGAGTATACAAGAAATTTCTAGAACTAAAAATGAGTTCAATAAAGTCTGGGATCCAAGGTCAACATATAAAAATAAGTCAATCATCTTTCAATATATTATATACAAACAATTTAAAACCAAAATTTAAAACTCAAAGCCATTTATGTAATAGCATCAAAAACATGAAATAACTAGGACTAAATTTAAGCAAAATCTGAAATCTCTATACTGATTAGACTCAGTATTATTAAAATTTCCCCAAATTGATCTATAGATTTGATGAAATTTCAGTTACAAATCCCAAAAGGCTTTTTTGGGTAGAAATTGACAATCTAATTCAAATTTTATATGATTCGAATACAAGGGACCTTAGACAGCCAAAACAGTTTTGAAAAAGGACAAAGTTGGAGGACTTATACTATCTGACTTTAAGACATTTTAAGCTTCAATTGTCAAGACAGTATGATATTGGCATAAATTTAGACAAATATATCAATGGAACAAAATACAGAAACCAGAAAGCCCACATATATGTAGCCAATTGATTTTTGGCAAAGGTGCCAATACATTTAAACAAGGAAATTTTAGTCTTTTAACAAATGGTGTTGGAATAACTGGAAAAACAAAGGGAAAAAATGAACCTTGATCTGTACTTATCCTACAGGAAAACTAACCTAAATGTGACTAGTAAAATTAGAAAAAAGATTCTAGGAGAAACTCTTTACAGTTGGGATTGACAAAGATTTTTTCAAACAGGACATAAGCACTAATCAAGAAAAAATGATAAATGGGACTTTATCAAAATTAAAAAATTCTGCTTATCAAAAGTATCCATTAAGAAAGTGAAAAGGTAGGAGGCAGGGCAAGATGACAGACTAGAGATGCCCAGGGCCTGCTCCTTTCACAGAAAAGGACCAGAACAACTAAGAGACAGCTAAATATTGATGGGAGCATTGGTGGGAGAACATAGTAGTGCAGTAGGAGACTGGTAAGATCTCTCTAGAGAGAGAGGCACACAGCCTCAGTCACCATGGCTCCAACACCAGGATTGGAACAGGAAGGATTTTCCCTTGAGGACCCACACCGATCCCCATCCTCACCACAGAGGCCTGCGGGTCCTTTGGCAGACCAAGCCCAGAGCCAAGCGTGTGGAGCAGTCTGGAATATGCGCACTGCGTTGCATAGAAAACTTGCACAAACTATGCACTCTTTACTCCCCACCCTCCTGACCCAAGCAGATGCATGATGGTTCCATCTTGAAACCAAAGCCATTAGAAGAGTGCACCCTGCCTTGGGGCCAATGGCTAGCCTTAAGGCTCTACTCTTATCCCAATGAAATCACACAAGACCTACAATGCCCTGGTGAAACCAGGGCTCACAGCATCTGTGACTCTAGTTCTGTAGTCTAGGAAGTAACCCTAGTCCGGTTTTACTGATGAACATCTACATACAAAGCCAGAGATCAGACAGTAAGACACTCCCTCAGGTGGACCTCCCCCATTCCTAGCCCTTTCCCCCATTCCTAGTCCTTTCCCCCATCCCTTCCAGCTGACTGTGTTGTGTGTGCCTGAGCCTCCAAGCCAGAAAAACAGCTCACAGTTCTCCACCCTAAAGAATACACCCTCAGGCTGGTGGAAATAAAGTGCATCCACTCCTCCCAGAAGAGTGGACAGGCACTAGTTTCATCCTGAGCAGTCCTGCCTAGAAGCTGCAGCAGCCCCTTCACTGCAGGCCTGCCTAGCAGCCCCATCCACTGCCCAAAAGCAGCTGGATCATTCACTGTGTGCCAGCCTAGTGGCCCCTCCCACAACTTAGAAGTATCTGAATTGGCCACTGCACTGCAGGCCTTCCTAGAAGCCCCACCCAGTGCTCAGAAGCAGCAGGATGGGTCCTCTCCCTGTAGGCCTGCCAAGTGGCCTTGCCCACTTCCTGAATAGCAACTCACCAGCTCTGCCATTGACAGTGTAGTTTCTGAATCACAGAGGGAGGCATGATGTCATTTCAGGACCCAAGAACTGGCACAGTAGAAGGGCCACCAACAGACCTGCACTCAGGTAGCCAAGCCAAAGTGCAACCCATGCTCTTGCTCAGAGAGACAGTTCAGCTGTCACTCCTCTGGAAGACCTACTACTGACTCTTTGAGCCATCACATGCACATGCCTCTGAGTGAGAAACATCCTGGCTGATGTGCCTCTGGCAGGCCCAACTCTGGTCAGAGAAGCAGCATGGTAACTCTGCCACTGGCAAACCCACCCTGGAGACAATGACATACCATATACCCACACCCTCAGCCTGAGAATCAATTCAGCAACTGCATCCCCAGCCAGCCCCTGAGAGGACTGATTGACATGGTACATGTACACACCTTCAGTCTGTGAACCAAACTGGCAATACCTTCCCCATCAAAGCTGTGCTACTGCCACCACAAATCTCTGAAGCATAGGTCTCTGAGTCATTCATAAACATAGCAAAAGTGTATTACAGCTGAAGAGACTACAGAGTCTACACTACTGCATCCAACTGGAACAAGCCATTGCACTCTACCCAATCAACACCCTAGGACACATTTGCAGGTGGAAGTCTTTTTTCACACAAGCCACTCTACAAAACTCAGAGAGGTGACTGTCTCACCATATTCACAGATATCAATGCAGGGAAACAAGAAGCACAAAAAACAAGGTAACATGACACCACCAAAAAAAGTGATGCTCCAGTAACTGATCCCAAAGAATCAGAAATTGCCAACTTTCCAGAAAAGGAATTCAAATTGATTATCTTAAGGAAACTCACTGACATACAAGAGAATACAGACAATTCAACAAAATCAGAAAAACGAACCATGATCTGAATGAGAAATTCAACAGAGATAGATATCATTAAAAAAATTAAACAGAAAAAAATGGAAATCTTGGAATTGAAGAACTTGTTGAATTAAATTAAAAATACACCTGAGAATCTCAACAACAGACTAGATAAAACATAAGAGAATTTCTGATCTTGAAGACAGTAGTTTTGAAATAACACAGGAAGACAAAAAAGAAAAAAAAAGAATAAAAAAGAATGAGTGAAGCTATAAGATCTATGACATACTATTAAGCAAACAAATATTTGAAATATGGGCATTCCAGGAGAAGAAACAAAAAAGATCTTGAAAACCTATTTAAAGAAATAATAGCTGAAGACTTCCCTAGTCTTAGGAAAGATGCTTACATAAAAATCTGGAAAGTTTAAAGGTTTCCAAATAGATGCATCCCAAATAGGTCATCTCCAAGACACATTGTAATCAATCTCTCCAAAGTTAAAGACAAAGAAGAGAATTCTAACAACAGCAGGAAAAAAAATGTCAAGTCACTTCTAAGAGAATCCTCTTTAGACTAACAGCAAAATTCTCAGAAGAAACCCTA